GTTTTATGACGTGTATTTACCAAAATCTAATTCCTAAAAAAGGAACAGTAAAAAAAAAAAGGAAATCATTCTTATAATAGTTTCTTTCAGCGAAGACACAAGATCATCATGTGAACTTTTACAATAGGAAGAAAATTACTTAATCAAGAGCTAAAAATACAGAAGTCCTGTAATATTTCTAAGTGCAATAAGTACAAATTTCTGGGCTTCTGACTATGTTGACCTGTTTATCTTCAAATGCTTCAGGAACCACAGCATAAGTGCCTCATCCTGTGATGAACAGAATCTTGGCACTCCACTTTAAGGACTGCAGTTCTGTTTGCCTGCCCCAGTCAAAATGTTTAAAATCAAAACATTGACAAGGTAGATTTAACTGTGTTGCAATGTTGAGATGCAAACTGTGTAGCCTCCTAAAGAAGAAAACTCACATACAGGAGAGGACACATGGAGTTACACCCAGAAAGCTTGTTTTAATTCAGATGTGCTTTCCACTGTCAAAGGAGACTAAAGGAAGAAAAGACAGAAAATCTGCATATCAGTTATTTTGCTATCCCTAGCACCATCTACTGTCACTCACTGTGGGACAACACTTTCCAGGGGCAGCAAACCAAGCCAAGCTTTATTATGCTTGTTCTCAAAGATCAATTCCCCTTTTCCAGATCTTTTCTATCAACATCATTAACAAGTACAACAGAGAATCTCAACTGTCCCTGTTGCCTTATTTATCTCCCTGTTCACAAGAACAAACACAGCGTTTTTCTTTTTTTTCTAATACAAAACATTCACCCTATTTTAATATAAATTATGCATAATATTCTTCAATATATTATTTAGTAAAAGCACTATTAGCTATAAAGAAGTCTTACGTGTAGTTTTTCTGTCAGTACTGTAGTCATAACTCTTTGGTTGTCTTCTCAGGTTTCACAGCTTAATAACTGGCTGACCTTGGATAAGCCATGTAAGTTTACTGAGTCTCACTATAAATACTTAAAGCAAAGATCTGCGAGATCCAACAAAATTAGATGCTGTCAGATGTACACACATTTTTGCAATTGCATTTTGTGTAATTTTCAGCTCCTCTAAATGCCACAGAATGCACTACTTCAAGAGCAGTGTTTTTCCTGCAGCTTTGTCGAAGAAATTCATTTTTCCTAAAATCTCTTTCTGAAGCTGTAAAGTCAAAATTTCATATAAAAGCACCATACTGTGCATTTTGGCAATATTGGCTTAAGGTAGAAGTTAGTGAGGACAGAAGCACAACAAATCAATACACTATCATTTATAATGTATACACTCGAGAGTACATCTAAAAAGGACAGTTTGAACCAAAAGTGTTATTCACTATATTTCCTTGTGTCATTTATGGTATAAATGCTTCAGGGTAGGGATTGTATCTTACTACTTTTAACAACCAGTTTTATGAGGCATCAAGCTTGTTAGAAGTCTCTTAGGGATATTATATGCAAATTAAAATACAGCTATATTAAGAAATTAAGTCTCACATAAAAAGCTCAAAGCAGTTTGAGACTAAAAGTGCTTAAAAGTTTTTTCTTTTCTTCTTAAGAAGTAACTTTTGTTTATATATAGGAAACAATTCAAGCCCAACAGTAATACCCAGACAGATGATGATAAGACATAACATTTTTATATGAGAGATAATGGATTTTTTCAATCACTAACTTGTAGGAAGGGTGAAATATCATGTTTGACTTCAACACTTCTTAAGTATGAATAGCACTTAATAAGTTCACAGCTATACCATTATGTATCACCTAATTACAATTTAACATCATTTACCTTTCTACTCATATGTATACATTGCTTACTATTATTTCCTAGCAGTTTTTACTGTAAAATTCCCAAAATATGTAGTAGTTACATTTTAAAAAAAGCTTTATTTCTGTTAGCAGGTGAATACCAAATAATCTGGAACACATGACATGCACCATTGGTTATCTTTAGATTTATATTATGAGCTCAGTTCCTAAATACGAATCAACACTGACTACGAGGAGGTAACATGGACTACAAACCCAACAGAAACAAGACCAGAACCTGATTTTGCAATTTCACCTAAGCCTATGATAGTTCTTTATATTCACTATTTTTGGTGCATTTTGTCTAGTATTTCCTTTTACAGCTTGTTAGTCACTACCTTACACATCTCAAATTTAAGGGAAGTCTGCTTTAATATAGCTTATACATCTACACAATTTCACTTTTTTATACTATTAAAAGCGTGTTATGAAGCAGATATTTTGAGAATTTAATTAGTTGACACTATTTCCCAGTCCCATGAGATTTTGTACTACAGAGTGTAAAGATTATGGTAACTATGAAATAAAGGTTCCACCATCTCACTGCATTTTAGGACATTTCTCAGGGGTCTTGCACGTTGGTTTTTCTTTCTTCCCTTTTTTTTTTGACAGACTAGTTTCAAGCTCCATCCCACTTCTCCATCTCCAGTTCTTCAGTCCGTGCTCTCTTCCTCTGCCTTCTCTATTCCTTCCTTCATATTTTAGTTTCTTTTCCTTTTTTTTTTTTTTTTGACCTGCTTATCTCAGTGCTTTGGGAAAGCCGGATAAATACTAGATAACTGCCCGTCTATAGAGGGAGTTCTTCTCCATCAGAGCAGTTCTACCCATTCCCATGGGTTCATCTCGACAGAACAGCCAGTTCTGCTCCCAGGAGCCGAGGAAGAGCTGCCCGGGAGCCGCAGGGGATGTCCCACGCCTGGTGGGACCAGCATAAATCCGGGTTTACCACCCGCTGTGGCTCCTCCCGCTGTCCCCCAGCTCCCGCCGGGCCGGAGAGGACTCCGGGAGAGGAACCGGAGCCCAGCGCGGCATTCCCGGCAGCGGAGCGGGGTTTCCAAGCGGGACATGGAGCGAAGCTGCTCCCGCCCGCCCCCAGCCACGCCCGGGGACACCGCGGTGCGGGCACCGGGACCTCAGCCTTTGGCACAGCACCAAAGGACAGACAGAATGGGAACGGGGATAGGGATGGAGCTGGGCTTGGTCATGGGGATGAGGGTGGGGACGGGCATGGGGATGAGGACGGGGATGGGACTGGGATGCGGATGACGAAGGGTTTGGGGACGGGGATACAGATGGGGAAGGGGATGAGAACGACGATGGAATGGGGATGAGGACGACGAAGGGGATAGGGACGGAGACAGAGATGGGGATAGGGACGGAGACAGAGATGGGGATGGGAACGGCGATGGGAATGGGGACAGGGATAGGGATGGAGACGGGGATGGGGATGCGACCGGGAAGGGGAGTGCGGCCGGGGATGGGAACACAACCGGCTCCATCCCCACCGCGGGCCCCCCGCCCATCTCCTCCCGCAGCCAGGGCAGGGGCGGGGAGCTGCCAACCGAGCGGCTCGATGGGGCCGTCCCGAGGGCGGGGAGGGGCGGTCGCTCGCAGTCTCGGCGATGGATTGGGGGTGTCCGGCGCGGGCGGGCGGTGCCGCCGCCGGACGGAGCGCGGGGTGTGCCGGGCCCGGCGCGGCCTCAGGTACCGTCGGGAGGGACCGGCCGAGGGGAGAGAGAAGTCACGGGGCTGCGGGCAGCGAGGCCGGGATGGAGCTCTGCTCCCCGCCTGGGCCGGGGGTGTGTGTGTATGTGTGTGTGAGTGACTCGGTGCCGCCGCCCCTCGGCCCCGTCCGCCCGTGACAGCGGCGCGGGGAAGGCGCTCTGCGCTCCCCTCCCCGGGCAGCCCCTGCCCGGGATAGAGGGAGTGCGTACGGAGGGTTCCCGCTCAGCCCAGAGCCAGCGTGTGGCAGGAATAGTGCGGCAGGAGCAGGGAAGTGATTCCGCCCTGAACTCGGCACTGGAGAGGCCGCACCTCGAGTGCTGTGCCCAGCCCCGTCACCTCTCACTGCAGGAAAGGCACTAAGGAGCTGGAGAGAGTCCAGAGAAGGGCAACGGAGCTGGTGAAGGGTCTGGAGCACAAGTCCTGTGAGGAGCAGCTGAGGGAGCTGAGCGGAGGATCAACCTGGATAAGAGGAGGCTCAGGGGCGACCTTATTACTCCCTACAATTCCCTGACGGGAAGTTTTAGCCGGCTGGAGGTCGGCAGCCAATGACAGGACGAGAGTACACAGTCTTAAGTTACGCCATGGGAGGTTTAAGTTGGACATTTGGAAGAAATTCTTCTCAGAAAGGATGATTAAACACTGGAATGGGCTGCCCAGGGAGGTGGTGGAGTCACCGTCCCTGGAAGTGTTTAAGGAAAGACTGGATGTGGCGCTCAGTGCCATGTTCTGGTTGACACGGTGGTGTTTGATCATAGGTTGGATTTGATGATCTCAGAGGTGTTTTCCAACCTGATGGATTCATTGATTCTGAGCTGGCACCGCTGTCCTGCCTCTCCTGGGGTGTGTGTGGGGGCAGTCTGTGCACCCCCTGCTTGGGCTGCAGCTCCCTTTGCTCCAGTGGTCTCTAGTATTTTAGCTGCAAGTGCAAGATACTTATCTTTACTCTTCCAAGATCCCAAGGGCTTGATCCACATTTCTTTCTCCTCAGGCATCCACTTTTCTCTAAATGCATTAAGGAGACTTACTCATTTCCTTCCCTCTCTTCCAGCTCCTTTCCCCAAAGATACCAGTGACAGGAAGGAAGGAGGAGACCCCCCCCTTAACTCTGAGTGTGGTGATTGTGCCGATTTCTTCTGTGCCTGGAGGGCTCAGCTTTCAGCTGCCAGAGTGTCCCACTGAAAGCTGCCCTGCTGGTCCTTATCAGGGATACGTGGCTGTATATCCTGTGACAAAGCAGATATGTTTAGTCCTTGCCCTAGACAAGATTAGATCTGCAGCATGTGAAAGGGATGTCATATGTAATCCTCAGCTGATGTTAAATATATAGCTACTGGTGGCTCAAGATTGCCTTGTACGTGGTAACACCTTGGCAGCTTGACATGGGGTTTTTTCTTCTGATGCTCCTGGACGAGCAGGAGAAGGAAGTCAGTGACAGTTCCATTGTCAGCTTTCACTCTGCAGACCTGAAACTTGGGTGTTTCTAACTCAGTGCGGTCCAAGTTGTTCGTGTCCAACAGGGTCACAGCCTTTCTGGGGTGACATGAGAACAAACTGAGAACTGTGTGCTTGGATACTCTGGTAGCTGGTAAAGACTCTGAAGTATGCAATAGGTTAATATTTTGTGTTACTAGTTCTATGTAAGAAACATTGTTTCATGAATTTTGGGTAAGTGCTGAATAGGAAACTTGAATTTCAGGTGTTCTTTTTATTCCTTAGATACCAGGATCCAGCTGTGCCGTGACAGTTTGACAGTATAACTGTTACATTGTGTAGTACCAGATTCCTAAAACGTCTCTTTATGTTAAGCTAAATTCTCTTATTTTGGTAGTACAATTAATGTCCTTTCTGTTCAAACTTTGGTGTTGTATAACTTTTTATTTAGCTAGGAACAGTGATCTCTTGTTGCAGTACTCAATACTGGCATGGAAAACTTGGCTTCTTGTTTTCTGGATCTTTTGCTTCACTATATTTTAAAGATCCTACAGGAAACTTTCTTTGAGTAAAAATGACAGTGAATGTAATAGTCTTGTTGCATAAGGCTCAGCTTTCCACCTCTCCTGGAGATTCTTGCCTTTTTTCTCATCTCGTGACGCCCTTTTTAGTGGAGGTCAGGGCTGTGTTAGATTAACATTGATTTAATGTACATTTCCTATAGGTGTAAAATGAGTTTACTTTCAGATTTTTTCTGGTTAGAGTGAAAGCAGTGTCTCTGTTTATCTTATCTCAAAAGTAATCAAATGTGAAACAAGAATCACCTGATGACAGCACATGTCAAAGCGGGGAGGAGGTTGTATCCTAGAACTGGTATTATTGGAGCAGCCGGTATAACTGGAAAAACTAAACCCATTTCTTCTGGGTGCAAGCCTTATCTTGGTATGTTGTCTTTCAAATTGTATATGAAATAATCTTGAGTAAATACAAGGAAGAATTTCAAGTTGACTTGCTTGCATCATGGTTTGTGACTGAGCTGCTGTTCTCGGCCTCTTGTCATTCTTGTTATGTACTCTTTCATTTTTCTTTTTTTCTTTTGGGGCAGGAGGGGCTGTATTTTCCTCATAGAACAGCCAGATGTAATACTTCTGTTTTGCAATTATTTAGCAGTTCTCTGCTTATAATGTTCTCTTCCCTAACTGTCAATGCAATAGAAGTGATTTCATAGTTTGCGAGTTTCATGTGATTTTTCTTTTTTTTGGGTGGAACTTTTAATGTGGAAAAGTGATAATCTGCACAAAGAAATATTTAATGCTATTAAAATAAGATTACACATGAAGTGTCAATGATGCAGTTATTCATTCTGCCCTCAGAGGTTGCTTGTTGCATGTTTGGAACAGCAGAGTTTGACAGGCTGCTGAGCCTGGTGGTTTTAGTGCAATCATCTTTGTGAACATACATTGTACACTACATAGTGAGACCATCTTTTGTATTTTTTTTGGTATCATAAATTAAAGCTGTGACTCTGCTTACATGATCTAAAATACTGCAACATTTTAAAACCAAAGTAGCGTATCATGACAAGAAATGTTAAGTATATTTTTAATTTTTTTTTCCAGAAGATCTTCATGTAACTGGCTTAAAAATGGTTCCACAAGATGACAACACCAAATCTAAGACTGTGGAAATGGTAAATAAATGAATAAAAAACCCCACTTTACAAGATCTCGATGCTATTTGCTGAAAATGATAACAATATTAAGAAATGCCTTTTAAATGAATATTCCTTTAAATGTCAAATTTTGAGTGGTATATTTAAAATTACACCATGTGGAAAGCATATTTATTTCCTAATAATGGAAACAAAAGGTGAACATGCTGAAGTTTGTGCTGTATTTAATACTTTTAAGCCGTCATTTCTATTTCAGCCTGTATGTCTTCTAGTGGCTTAAATTTATCATAACTTGTGCACCTTTGTAAGGGTAAAGCTGTGTTCTTAGGGAGAAATGTCTTGAACCGTTCTTGATTTAGGTGTCAGATGTTATGTCAATATGCTAAACTTTTGTCCTTATCCTGAAATAGGCTAATTATTGGTAATAAACGGTGAACAGGGTTCTGTGTGATCAGCTCCAGTGAGAACAGCCCACAGTAGATTGTGCGTGCTGATAAAGGGCTGGGTATGTGTCTGGCATAACAACTGAATTTAGGTGCAAGTTCTGCACCTGGTCACTTGAATATAACTAAAACATGGATTAAGTAGGGGTGAGAAGTAAGCAACTGAATAGTATCTTTCTCTTAGTGATCTTTGTGTTAGTGTACGTGGAGGGAAGAATTTATTTTTGTTATTGTTATATTTGGTTCTTTTGGGTGCCTAAATTGGGCATGTTCAAACTGTTTGAGCTTTGTATGAATAAAAGTCTTCTGGTGTAAGTCTTGGTTATCTGAGATACCGATCCTTATCTCTGATTGGGTTGGTAGTGTAAGAAGAAAAACATGACTAGCAGCTACTCTTTGTATGTGAGGGCACTGAACTAAACAGGTGTTCAGGATCTACAGTGATCTTAGGCTTTGTGGAATAGGAGATGGATAATCACATGCTTGTGTCTTAAAAGTGCAAAATACATCTTCCAGTTTGTTTGTTTATTGGTTTTTGTTGGCTTTTTTTTTTTAATCAGCTATAGTGATTTGTAAACTGTGTGGAAAAGGTTTGAACTTGGTGGTTGTTGAGCAGTGTGTAAATGTTGAGTTCAGTGGGTTTCCACAAGACATAACATAGAGATGCCTTATGTTTCTAGAGTATATAAAGGGCAAAAAGCCTATACACTCTTCCACTACCTTCCTAACTCTAAGGTTTAGATTCTTTGCTTAGGAATGTGGGCTTAACAATAGGACCTTTCTCTGCATAGCTTAAAAAAAATCAGAATTTAACATCATCAGGCTCTTGTTTCTCATGTGAACCTCTTTAATTAATAAGGAAGGGATCATGTTCTTTGAAATATCAAAAGTAGTAAAGTTAAAAAAGCTGTTTTCTTGTGATTCAATACTGTCCTAGCATTTTTTATGAAGGTCAGTTCTTAAGGTTGTAGACCTGTCTGTCCTCAACACTTAGGACTTGAGCTGCAGCAGAACTTATGGAACTCAACATTTTAGAAAATGTTTTGCAAAGAGACGTGCAATATACACATCTACACAATGTTTTAAACTTTGCTTTTTTTTTTTTTATTTTAGGAGACTGTCTTCACTTTGACATGATGTGTGAAGCTTTTTAGTCAGCATTTTTCTTTCTCTTTTACTGTTATTGTGAAAGGTATGTACGAGAAAAGTAAATCTTATTCTTTTGTGTTCATTTTTGTCAGACCATATTGCCCTCAATGCACAGAAGCCAAACATAAAGAAATGTGTGGAGATGTATGTCATTGCAAGTTCATCAGTACTGGTACTTTGTTAATTAGTAGGACGATCTATCTGTCTAAAACATCTCAAAATAGTAGTTTCTATCCATCTTTTCATTTTATGTGATGTTTTACAGGGTTTTAATCCTGTCCTAAAACTTGGTATATCAGTTTCCATAGGGTTCTATTTTTCTGCTGAACATTATGGGTGTTTTAAGTATTGGCTATAGCTTGAAGGTGCATCATGCTGCACAATGAGGACTTTGTACTCACCCTTTCTCCATAAACTTCTTGCCTTGTTATGGAAGAATCAAGCAAAGGGCTGTATTAGGCACACAGAAATGTTAAACAGACACTTTGTAGTCAGATGAGAAAGTAATAGCTGCTCTTACTGTAACATACAAAAAATTTCGACTTCAAGACATAATTATGGGCTCTTTATTTAGAATTTTAGAATCTACTTATCGTGAGTACAAAAGAAATGGTGCAGTGTGTAGTTAGACTGTGAATAACTTTATATGTAACTTCTTCTCTAAGAAGTAGTGGATATTCTATCATTCTTTACTTCCTTCCTGGTGAGGACCTTAGAGCAAGGGATTTGTACAAGCATGATGTAGACAAGCTGAGTACAATACTGAGCAACTACAGACTGTGCACAATATCTTTGCATGATCTCTGTTCACAGTGTTTATGTGCTATACCCTTTGAAGCAGTTTGTGGTGAGAACAGAAAAGCTGTAGATGTGAGCATCTGATGTAGAGACATCCAGTTTATCAGGCTACTGCTGCTCGTTCCTGTCTCCAGCTGTATCTCCCCCTCCTTCCTGCAGCACGTAACTGGTGGGAGACAGGAGTGGGTTGCGTTTCTAGTACACCTTAATAGTGTTCATGAATTGTGCTGTAGCCTGACATGGTATGAGATTTCTTCCTTCCAGCTCATTTGAACCCTTTCATGCCCACCTTCCATTTTTGCTTCCTATTATGCAACCACGTGAGCAATTTTTAGGCTGTATATAATATAACTTAATATAACGGTTCATAGGCTATTAGTCATAATAAAATGAAGGCAAAGTTTGTAGAGTATAATATGTAGCATCTATTAGACCAATTCATAAAACCTGAAAAAACCTTTATAAACTTTCAAGCATGAAAACCTTTCTGTTAGTTTGCTCGAGTTTAATACACCGATTTATTCTCTCTTTGAGAACAAATGTTTCTCCTTTATTCCTTATCGAGTAAAAACTGTAATTCCTTGCTGAGCCTTTCATAACTTTGCCCCTCCCTACTTACAGACTTCTGCTTTCTTTTGTCAATCCTACCATTCTGTCAGGAAAGCAGAGTAATTATCCAGAACTGATGCCCACACATGGAATATATCAGCATAGATCTAGTGGTATAATTACACTTCAGGAACTCTGCCTGTTCATTTTTCTTTGGAAAGAAGCCCTTTGAGAAATGAAGGAAAAAGTGTCACGATTTGAACGTGGCAGAAACTGTATTGTAAAGGAGAGGCATGAGTCAAACCAGGAAACAAAGCCATTATCTCCAATATACTTGTGCATATCTGGGCATTTGAATCATTAATCTGAGGAACAGGCTACTCTGGAAAAAAGAAATGGAGCTTCCTTGCTGAAGACATTGTGACACTGTCTTTTTCATAAATAATTTTTAAATAATAAAGAGATAGGAAGTATTTGTAAGTTGACACATGGAAAAAACAACGTTTAATTTAAATTCATCAAACTGTGTTAGCAAAGTAGATCACCTCTTTTTACTGGGAAAATCAGGAGCTACTCTGTGAAGGTGACTTTTTTAAGTTTACAATCAATTTTTCTTCTTTTTTTTTTAAACTCTTCATGGTTTGAGGGATCATAATTTACCCAAATGTCCTGCTATAACTTTGGAAATGTTTGTTGAATACTTAAGTTTAAACATGTTTCTGACTACCTTTAGCAGAATTATATTTGACCCAAGACATCAAACTTATTTGTACTGTCAGGTATCTGAATTTACCAAAATAGAGTAGTTTCAAATTTAGCAGAGCTTGTAACCTAGAAATTCCAAAAAGGCATTGTATGTGTTACCTACGTGTGTTTACTTTCAGTGCTAGAGCAGTTGATAAATTCTCTAAAAGTCAAGATATACTTTCTGATTGCCCCAATGGAAATTTCATGCCATATCTGTCAAAGATCTGCTTTTTAGCAAGCACAAGCATATGTGTCCTTACATATGGGCCCAGTTCACGTATATGAAACACTTGTCCTGCTGTTTATTGGGGTTTTTTTGTGTCACTTTGTAATCTTTTGGTGTTTGTTTCTTTATTGACCTTAACCAGGTTACAAATGGTGTGGGTTTTTATCATGAACCGAATGAGCTCCCAGAGCAGTTCATCCACTCAGCGTCGGCGACTGGCTCTGGGAATCGTCATCCTCCTCCTCGTTGATGTGATATGGGTTGCCTCTTCAGAACTCACTTCTGTAAGTACTGCTCCGCACATCTTAAAGGGAATATAGAAGCCCATTGAAGAGAAAGATGCAGCAGAAACATAGTCACTCAAACACTCAGTGGGTGGTGGTGTGTAATGTTTAACCGTTTCAGTAAGGGGAAGGTGATACCCTTTGGGTTAGTGAGCCAGCCTGTATCCACTAAAAGTTACAAGTAAGATCAACTCAGTGACTGCTGCTTTTGAGACAGAAGGTGTTACTGATGACTTTAAAATAGAACAGCATAAGCTCATAACTACGTACTGTAAATAGGGAGTTTGTTTTGTTTATTGCCATAATGATTAAAATAATGCCCATATGTTTCCCAAAAAGTAGTAAACAAGGTGTAACATGGCAGGCTGGTGGTGGATTGTAGATCAGGGCATATAGAAGTCCTGGATGAAAGGACTCAGGTCATGGAGTTTAAGCCTTGTAATTGCATCTAGTTCAGATGTTCATCATATTGAAACTGTTGTGGTGTTTGCTTCCTGTTAAGTTTTAGGACTTAAAATAGAGCTTTAGCAATGGAAATTGAGTTTTTAATAAACTCTGATCAAATTCAGGTTTCTGAACTGTCTTTAAGTTATGTTTTATATCAGTCTTGAAATTAAACATATACAAATGTTTGTGCTTAACATGTTGTATTATTAATAAAACATTTTTTCCAATGAGCCAATGGAATTGCTGTTGATACTGAAATGTTACTTAATCAAAGTAATCTTCTCTAATTTTTGATTACTATATTATTGCTTACAAAAGGAGTCTTTAATTTAGGAAATATTTGTATATAAATGTATTTTCAGACCTATTTGAGTTCAGTGGCATGCAAATATATTACTCGGTTAGATACAAGTAATAAATAATTTTTTTCTGGTGGCATTATGTGCTACAAAATGGCTCAGTGCCTTCTTGTTGGCAGTAGAAATAGCTTGGAAGGGGGTACCCCCAGAACAAGTAGGGCATGTGGTTGTTTTGGTCATGCCTGCCAATGTTCATAGTGCTGTCTTTTTGGGAACCAAAATATGTATATATATATATTTATATTATATAACAAATATACTGTTCTGGAGTAAATTCTCACACCTGTTCATTCATTTTTGTGAATTCTCACCTATTTGGTAATTTTGGATACTACAATTATTTTCTTTCCACAGTATGTTTTTACAAAGTACAACAAACCTTTTTTCAGTACGTTTGCAAAAACATCCATGTTTGTTCTATACCTCTTGGGATTTATTGTTTGGAAACCATGGAGGCAACAGTGTACTCGTGGGTTTCGTGGAAGGCATGCAGCCTTTGTAAGTATCATAACTCTGTAAATGTTGTGGTATTTGTTTAAGTTTGTATGAAAAAAAGCTTAAAATAGAGACTAAAGAGGAACAAAGTTTACGTATTTATGAAACAGTACTTTCGGAAAAGTAATTATAAACTGAATCCTAGCACAGGAGGACATGGCAGTCATAGTTGTCTTGTGAAAGAATGAAAGGAAAGGAAAAAGCAATATGAGATGTGCCAGGAGTCATAAGAAATGCTTTACTGGGCCAGACCATTGGCCTGTCTAACCTGGTATTTAATTGTGGACAGTTGCAGAATATAATTTCTTTTAAGAAGAGCTAATGAGCCTCACCACTGCTGGCTGTTGCTTCTCTTTTATTTCCCCTACAACTGTAACCAATGGAATCAGAATTTGGACTCTGTACTTGATTTTTAGTACCGACTCTTTTTGTCTCTGGCACAACTATGAACTTTTTGCTAAGAGGTTTTGAGGGTTTTGAAGTTATATTTAGTAAGGGTGATAGAATTATGCTTTTGTTGTTGTTAATACTGGTTTTTTATAGCCTTTATGCATGAGTGACCTTCCTTTGCCCATTCTAGAGCTAGGCATAGTTTGTGCTAGAGTCTAAAATTATTATTATATGACAGAAATATTTTTTTTTTTTGCAAGGAAATTAAGAGATGCTGGGAAGGGCACTTGTTCTGTGCCAGTGTTTCAGAATGCTGAACAGCAGGACTCAGGAAGCAGTGAGGCATTTGGCCTGATATTAATCTTGCATTAAAAGAACAGAAAATGTGATCCAAGAACATGCTGTTAATCAACATGTTGTTATAGAAATGAGCTTATATGAAAGGAACAGACTTCAGATCTTCTGGATATATTAAACTTCACTGATAGTGACACTATCATAATTAAATATAAGTATTACATGACTTTTAGCCAAATTATTTTTATTTAAAAAACCCCAGACCATAAAGAACAAAAATAACCCCAGAAAAATAAACATTTTGGGTTTTTTGTTTCAAATTTTGAGTTAAACACAAAGAACATTTTACAGATGGCTGATATCTTGACATAATCTTTGCTAGATCAATGCCAAGTGTCTGTGCATAGTATGGCACATGTTAGACTTGATGTTGTTCAGGATCTTCATAAGATAATCAAGACATAAACTGATCTTACAGTTTCTTTATTGGCAGTAATGTCAAATTAGGGTGATGTGCAGAACAATTATACTGACCAAATTTATTAATCTGAGCCCATAAGTAGAATAATAAGAATAAGATGCTGCCTAATGTGAGTTGTTGTGGTTACATTGACCAGCTGAATCTTGTGCACTGCTCTCTCTGAGAGAGATAGTATGATCTCATGAACTGGACAGCTATGAGTAAGAGTGCTCAGTCTGTCACGTGTGTGGCACTCATGGCACTGCTACTGGAATCTCACTATTTTTCCTTTCTAATCCTATAAAAAAATAGTATTAAAATAATTTGTAGGAAATAGCCATTACTTTGATGTTAGTCTATTTCAAAAGAACAGTGCAGACAGGACTGTAGTGTGAAGTTAGAAGACTCCCTCCCTCCTAAGGAGCGTAGTTAAATATTCAACTGTATAATCATTATAAGTGCCTTTAAAATGCCTTGTGTTTATTAATCTGGAACAAAAATACATTTATAGGGTTTTGTTTCAATAGTGATTGCTTGGGTAAACACTCACACCTTACATTTAAGTCCTCTTCCACATTAGAGGCTTTGTTTAATAGATAATGGTAGAACAGCAACCTGCAGGTCAGGGAACAGGGGTTGGTATGGTGCAGAAAGAAAGGGAGAAAGTGGTACTTGACCTCATGGTAATTTAAATGTTGTTAAAACTGAGGCAGAGTCCCACATTTTTATGCAAAGGAACTCTGCCTCAGTAAAATGAAGAAAGAAGCAGCTTGTTAATTCCTGCACATGTGAAGCATGTCTTGCTAAGACTAAACTTAACGGGTTTTGGCTTTCTTAACAGCCTCATCCTGCATTCATACCTGAGTAGTTGAATTCAGTGGGGTTCTCCAAGAGATACAAGGAAATACCAAAATTATTTACTGAACTTGTAAACCCTCTTGGTATTGGGGAGGAGGGCTGAGGGGAAAGAGGGAATTGTGACAGAAATATGGAAAAAGTAATTAAAAAACTTATTCTGAAAACAATTCAGTTGTTAATAGCTCTACCTTGATAGTTTTTATTACATTTAAAGTTCTGTAATTAGTTTGCAGATGCTGAAGGGTATTTTGCTGCTTGTACAACAGATAACACTGTAAACAGTTCTCTGGTAAGTGCCTGAATTTGTGAAGATCAGTGCTTTACAATAACGTGGCACCACTAACCTGAGTTACTGATTTTAAAATATGGTAGTCTTAAATGTTAAAGTTTTTGGCAAAGGGGATTGGTAACTTATATGTTACTAATAAGTGCTGCAAATGATGACATGGCTTATTATAAGAAATACAGGTTTCTCAGCTCAATAAAACACTTCTGAATGTTTCTGTAGCAGTTTGTCAAAGAAATACTATGTCATACAAAGGAAACCTTTAAATATTCAGCTCAGTACCTGCCAAAGCCACATATGGAGAGCTGGTGGTAAAGCCAAACAGTTTTCAAGTCTAAAATATACAAGAGAATCATTCAATCAATGGAGTATTTTGTACACTGTGATCCTGCATTGCATTTTGAGAGAGAATCAGACTCAGTTTCAGTGTCAGTTCTGATAAGCTGCACTGCCAGGCAGCATTTTTGGGGTGATTTTCATCATCCAAAGATGACAGTTTGTTATGCCCCTGTTGATCACAGATTACTGCTTAATCAGTGTACCTGAATCAGAGGGCCACATGCAGAAATGTATCCAAACCACAAAACTTTTAAAGTTTGCACCATCTCTGTAACAGAGTAGGGGGATGCAATTGAGTTGAAGAATTATTTTCAGACATATTCTTCGTTTAATTTTTGGTTGGGTTTTTTTTCCCAACTTTATCTATCTACATTTAAGAATAAAATCTTAATCTGCCCAATTTGTTCAGATCACCACACTCTAGAATCTTGGACAATTTTGCATTAATTTAAGCATCCACAAAAATTCTGGTCCTTAACAAGGAACCTAATGAAAATGCAACTACCAGATCTTTTTCATTACTTTACTCTTTGTGATGGTTTGAACAGCACAACTCTTACAGTTTATTAATTCAATCTAAACAAACAGTTTAAAACTTGTCTTGTTAGCAGAAGTTTTAATTGCTTAAAATACTTCTAAGTGTCTTATATGTTGGAGTTCCTTTCCCAAAGTTTTTTGTCATTTAGTTCTAGTTTGTGAGAAAATGAGAACATAGTAATTTTTGTATATTCTGTATTTTCTAGTTTGTGTTTCTAATTTAAAATTTGGACAGAAATTATAGTTCTAATAAACATCTGTGATATTGATCAGTTATTTTGTCATTTTAAATCAGTAGGTTTGAATTTTCTGGTCATAATTTTTGTGTTCATGATGATATACACAGAAGTGCACTGTTCTCTCTGAATACTGCATTTTACCAACATGTGCAAATACATTATATACATTATGCATGCACGTTTTTGACAAGTCTATGCACTGTGTTCAAACTCACTTTTTGTGGGTTTCTGTTACTATTCACCGAGCTTTTCTTTAATTAGTTTTCAAATTTGCTAGATTAGTTCTATTGCTTATAATTTAAATATCCCTCTTAACTGTATTTTTACTTATACTGATTCATTGCAGAGTGAACCTTTATATGTTCCTGTAAAGTTTCATGACTTGCCAACTGAAAAAAATGGCAGTAATAATAGTGATGCAGAGAAAAGTGAGTAAAGACTTTTGGAATACTGAAATGTTAGTTCTTTGGTGAAGGAAGCACTTTCCTTTTTAGTATAACTGCTGTCATGTTGCAGGTCTCACCTCCCCCTTTCCTTTCCCCCCCTTTTTTCTTTTTTCCCCTTTCCTTAAATCTCTTATTGCATGAATTGCAGTCTTATATATTTACTTTCAGGTAGAGAAAACATAGGCCTGTCGTTCAGTTTACCTTTCTTGGTCACTACAGATCCAGCCTATGTTTATCTCAAGGGACCAACTGGGTTCAATACTTGTGATTCTTTCCTTCTGGGCTTGTATGACCAGCAGCAGTGAGTCAGCCTCTGGAAAAACAAGCTATTGTCCTTTTTAGAGCAGGAGCAAAGCAGTCAAAGTAAGAATTTTAACAGTCTATGTGCATTCTGATTTTATTTAAGCCTCACTATCTTGTGATAGTATCTGAAACAGGCCTAATTGTCCCAGACAGTTGTAGAAAAGTTAACTGTCAAAGAAGGCAATTATCTGATCCTCAGCAAAAGAGTCCCTGCTTATAAAAGGCAAAACCTCTTCTTTAATTTCTAGATGTTAAGAACCACTTTGGTAGCCCCTGCTGTCCTGTGACAATGTGCTCCAATCACTTCAGAGTTGTTTAAGCCATAGCTTTTTCCTTCACATTTTTTAGGAAATAAGGTATTTTTTCATATTGAACTGGATAACATTTACATATAGTGTGTAGTGTAATGTTTTCTTTACACAGAAAACTATTGATACTTACAATACACTTATGAATAAGAGCTGATCCTGGTTAGCAAGATTAGTTAGAGGGTGGTTTTCAAAAGGGCAAGTGACTTTATGATCTCTGCTAAGCTTTGAGGTCTTTTGGGCTCTAATCTTCTGAATGAATCCTTATCCTTACAGTTAGTTGTAGTTGTGTGCAAGTTTGGGCTGTTTTGCTACTAAACAATTAAAGAAAATCTTATGTGTAATATTTTATCAATATGGAATAATTCCTATCTAAAAATTTGTTGTTACCTTATGTTGGGTTTTTTGGCAGGGAGCAGAGATGATGCTTTTCAGTGAGGTTTTTGTGGGTGGACAACTGTACTGATTGAAAACAGTAATTGTGCTTTGTCTTATTAGTAGCTTCTTGAATAGCAAAATACTAGCGTTCAGTAAAAAATAATGGCATGGCTTCTATTTGGATAAGAACCTGTTATTTGTGTAGCATTGTAATCAATGCTGTGTTGGAACATGATGGTTTTGTTTGCATGTTGTGTCGGCTCAAGAAGTTTAATGATAATATGAAGCTTTTTTCTTTCTTTTTTTCCTTCTCCAGCTCCCAAAAAGCCTCGTGTAAGGTTCAGTAATATTATGGAGATCCGACAGCTCCCATCGAGCCATGCATTGGAAGCCAAGTTGTCTCGCATGTCATATCCAACAGTTAAGGAGCAGGAATCAATATTAAAAACTGTAGGAAAACTCACTGCAACTCAAGTAGCAAAAATTAGCTTTTTCTTTTGCTTTGTGGTATGTTCTCCATTCTTTCAGAAACTTAGACATAAGTATAATGAAAATTTGTATAATATTAGTGAAAAAGTATTGAGGTGACTTGTATTCTTAAAGCCTTGTTTCATAAACGTAGTATAGGAAGTAAGACTTTCCTGGTGCTGGACATGAAGGTGAAAGATTTCCTTATGAATCTGTTGGTTGCTGATGTTTCTGCATCATGCCTCAGTTCTGGGGGGGAGAGGGAGGTAACAGTGGCATGATTTTTGAGACAGTAAAAATGTAGAGAGCAGATCAGTGACACCTGTTCCAGAATCAGCTTCACTGATACTGCCAAATAGGTTCTTTGTAATGTGGACCCACCACAGCTTTTGCTCAGGAAGTACTGCTCTTTAAACATTATTATTATTATTGCTGTTATCATCAATAATAATAACACTGCTGGAAAATGGTAATTTAATTTTTTCTAAGGTAGTGTTTTCATATTCAAAACAAATCCTGTTTATGCTGTTCAAGCTGTTACTGGCATGTATATGTATTTCTTCTTGAGCTGTATGAATATTTCCACATAAGGCTAGAGAGTGGTTACTTCCCCCAGAATATATCTGAGATCTTATTAATGAGATCTCAATCAATAAATGAGTAAACACTTGCCATTTTATTCCTTTATGAGAGAATTAACAAATATTTTTTAGATATTGAATGTAAGTGATGCTTGCTTTTTACAGTAGAGATGTGTCCAGGGTTTTAAGTACTCTAAAAATTTAAACTCATTAGGCTGACTAATGTTCCGTGCATTCCTGAAATTTCTTTGCAGCTCTTGTGCAGTTATCATCTGGAAGCACTTCCAAAACAAGTTAAAAGTACCTTTAGTTACTACAGAATGGCTATTATAATGTCATTTTAATTATTTTTAGGTTCTGAAGTATGTTATTTCATTATTAAACATGTACTTTTATATGGTTGGTTTGGGCCAGTTTTAAGTGTGCTGCTATCTTTTAGTGTACTTTCCCCTTTAATAGAAGTTAAAAATCACTTTAAGGTAAAAATCATGTTCTCATTTTATTTTTGGATGACCAGTTGGGGTTTTTTTTGCTTTAAGTAGAGTTTTATTGGGCTGAGCAACTTAGGCTCTGTTGCTGCTACTCTATAACACAATTATTTTTCTTTTTCCCCAGTGGTTCTTGGCAAATTTCTCTTACCAAGAAGCTCTGTCAGATACCCAAGTTGCCATAGTTAATATCTTGTCATCAACCTCTGGTAAGATTTATTTACACCACCAGATGTGCCTTCTAAGGCTGTTTATAACATAAAAATCTATTTTGCTACAATGGACTTGTGTAATGTTTTACCTGTGGTTTTGGCTTAAAGCCTTTGAATATGTGCATTTAAGAAAGTTATTATGTATTTGCAGAGGTTTAGGGTACCTTCATGTTCTCCTGCTTTTTGAGTTCATGTGTGTATTTCTGCAGTTATGTCTGTATATTAAAAAGATATTTTGGGAATGTAATAGCTCTAAAGGAAAGGTGGTATAACTGTTTATCAAAATGGATGCAGAGCAAAGCTTTCTTGCTAATGATTGTTTTTTAAAAAATGGGTTTAGAGATAAAGAACTTAAACCACTTAAATATTATGCATATCATTTGCTTTACAGGTTTTATGCAAGGCTCTAATACAAACTTTAGAGTATTTGAACTATGTGACAGTACATATTTGGAGAATTAACTTTTTTTGTTTTATAAAGTCAGTTTTAAAAACAGAATTATACAATCTTTCCCTGACTTTTCTGGCTTATTGCAGTTTATTTTGTTAGTATGGTTGGCCTTTTTCAGAGCTGAGCATGTATTTGCTCATCTGAGGATTCACATCACAAGGTGTTAGTTTTCATAATAGTTCTGACTAAAACGAAGGATGTTAAGAACACGTAGTTAAAACAAGTACATGAAATATAAAGAAGAAAATGTCTGTGCAGTTTTCTGAACAAACTGGTGGCAAAACATGATTTTATAAACTTCTCTTAATTTCTCTTGCAGGGCTTTTTACATTAATCTTAGCTGCAGTCTTTCCCAGTAACAGTGGAGATCGGTTTACCCTGTCCAAATTATTAGCTGTTATTTTAAGGTAAGATAATGGGATAGAACATTTGGTCAAAAATTCTCTGATACAGTGAGAGGACAGCTGTACCTTACTATATTTGTGGTATCTGTGACCATAAATTCTACACATCACTTTCTTAAAAATGCTCGTTTCACAGATAAATTGAGAAAGTTGAATTAAATCTTTTTAAATACTTCATATCATGAACAGTTACCAAATCTCATTCTACTGTAGGAAATTAAATTAACCAGGTTATTCTTGGAAATAAGTGAACTTATTTTCTTCTTGTTTAATTATTTTATTTTTGTGTAAATGGGGGAAAAGGAAGTGGTTTGACATTCAGTGTTGTCAGCCTGTTTCATTAAATGCCTGGTGTATTGTTCTGGATTTTAAAAGTGGGGTTGGTTGGTTTGATTTTAGCTTAGGATCAGACCTTAGCAATAGAGAACTCCTTTTGGCTTTCCAGAAGTGGGTTTTGATTAAATAAAAATGCCTAAAGATAGAACTGTATTTTTATGGTTTTCTTTCTCTTTTTTTTTCTGTATTTGTCAAAAAGTTCCTGTGTTTAAGAAGCCTTTTGCATTTCTTTTCTTTTGCTAGCATTGGTGGTGTGGTACTTGTTAACCTTTCTGGATCTGAAAAATCTGCTGGAAAAGATACAATAGGTATTTACTTATGGTTTTTAGTCCTGGAACATGCAGTGATGAGTACCATCTTCCGACAGTACTAAGTAGTCATATAGCAAGCTCCATATTTCTTACTCATGTAACCTTCTACAATCTGGCTTTTTAGTTTGAACTTCTGAAACTCGTCATTTATGATAATTTTCCACCCTATGTATATAGCTTAATTGGGAAAGTATTTACATTTTTGAGCTCTACATTTTTCCATGCTTTTCATATATTAAGGGATTCTGTACTAAGCAGTTTCTGAGTGATGGTTTTGTAATAGATGTGTGTTTAGGGGAGTTGATCCTACTGTGCATAACGTGCTTAGCATGTCTTTTTCCATCTTTCCAGGTTCCCTGTGGTCTCTTGTAGGAGCAATGCTATACGCTGTGTACATAGTAATGATAAAAAGGAAAGTAGATAGAGAAGATAAACTTGACATACCAATGTTCTTTGGTAAGACTAAAAATAACACTATTCAACGTTTTAATTCAGTGTGTAATTAAATTGTTTGCTCTCAGGCACTGAACTGTGTATCAGGGGCTTAGAAAAGCCAAGAAAGTAGAGGAAGCCTGTTATTCCTGTTAGGAGTACTTTAGATACCGGTTGTGTGGATTGTTTCTTGCTTAAAGCCTTAACAATGAGTGGTAACACTACCTGTGGGAATGCAGACAGCCCCTTTGACTTAAAGAAATTCTAAAATTTTATTTTATTTTCAATTAAAATCTGTAAATATCTGATGCAATTTTTGTTTGTGAATTTTAGGTAAAGTTTCTTATATTCATTTCATTTGAAAGATTTAAAATAGTGCTTCATTGCTTGTTTTTTTTGTATGCATGTTTTCAGAGTTTAGGTGAGATTTTGGTTATGTTGAGGGATATTGTTTGCGATTTACTTAAAACTGTTTTTATACTCAGGTTTTGTAGGGCTGTTCAATCTGTTGCTGCTGTGGCCAGGGTTCTTCCTGCTTCACTATACCGGGTTTGAAGCATTTGAGTTTCCCAACAAACTGATATGGATGTGCATTGTCATTAATGGCCTTATTGGAACAGTTCTGTCAGAGTTCCTCTGGCTGTGGTATGTACTACATACACTGAATATTATTCACATAAATTACCTTACCTGTGTTCTCACATGTCGAGATGTCAGATTGTCTGGATAGGCGGTTTTGCTTTGTTTTTAAATTTTTTTCTGTCCATATATGCAGCTTAAGTCAGAGGATGTCACCCATCATGTCACAGTGACCTGTTAAAAAGCCACAGCTAACTTTAAAAAGCAGGTGATGTGGTCTTGTAGTATTTATTAAAATCCTGTGTGCATAGCTCATTTTAGAATTGACATTTTGAGACAAAAACACTTTGTGGTACAGAGTTGCTGTAGCAATAGGAGAGCATGAATTTCTCTAGTAACGGTTCTGTGACAGTACTGCAACAAAAGATGTAGGTGGAGTTCCATGAAAACCTTTTTGTTTTGTTTGGGGGTGGGGAGTCTTTTTTTGTGTCTGTTTTTGATTTTTTTGGGTTTTTTTCAGATTGAGTTTAAAGTTATTTAGGAAATCTAATCATGATAATTTTTGTTTATTGGCAAACTCTTACACCAGTCCTAATTATAAATGCATTGTTCCTTTGAATTAAACTTGTTTATTGATGGAATATTTTTGTGATGTTAATGCCATCCTGTAAGATTACACTGCAGCTCAGTATCTGGTAAAAAGGTTAAGTGCAATATTTTAATATAGGCGAAATAACAAACAAACGAAATTTCCCAAAACCCCAAACATTGGCTCTGGTCCCAAAATCAAGTATTAGGATGGGTTAAGTACATGGGTGTGCACAGTCTTTTTTTTGTGCAATTACTCAGAATGATAATCCAGTCAATCAAAGCGTTAGCTTTATTTCCAGTTCCTTTTTCCTAGAGTTTTGGACTGGAATTAATTTCAGGGCTTGTGCTGACATCCTCCTTCTATCTGTCCAGTGTGCCACTAGTACGGTCCTCTTCACTGTCTTTGGAAGTAAATAATGCCATTTAACCTACTTGTTTACTCCACCCAGCCACATACTGCCAACTATATAATGTAGGGATAGATATGACTCTTAATTTCAAGGGTTTTTTTAACCTGATGATAAGTTTTTATAGGTGTCTGTGCCATTTATTCATTTACAGTTTTCTGGTGGACAGGTTGGTTCTAATTCAGAAGCAGACAGTGCAGAGATACAGGAGTATTCTCTTGTGCTATAGAGAACCATGGTATAGAAACAAAATGCTGATTTTTCTAGATGAAGTTAAAGAATGTGAAGTAGGGAATTTTCCATCATCTCAAAAGGTTTATATGGGAATTAAACCTCACCCCAGAAGACATCAATTGTCTAGTTAGGAATTCTAAGCAGTTTCACAGATGGAGTGTGGGCGCGTGAGCTTTAATTTTTGATTATTAAAACAAACAATGACTGTTAAGCTTGATCAAATGCCTTCCTCATTTGATGTGTTAATTTGTCTTTTAACTTTTAAATAAGACCTTTGTGTTATAATTATTATTTATTATCATTATTATTTTATAACTGTTACTATTTCATTGTCTTTCAGGGGATGCTTTCTTACCTCATCACTGATCGGCACACTTGCTCTAAGCCTTACAATACCTCTGTCCATCATAGCTGACATGTGCATGCAGAAGGTAATGTAATTCTACATTTTGAGCATTATTTCTTCAAATGAAATGGCGGTATTATCTTTATTGATGTATGCAACGAGCAGTATTTTACTTCTGTCACCTATTAATACTTGTTGAACTGCATTGTGATTGATACTCTCTTGATATTGACAGTTAACAGTAATTTTGCACTTGAGAGTGTGCTCTTGCACAAAATTGATTAAGTGCAGCTTGTATGAAAAGTACCCAAAGTCATCAGCAGTACCTGGCCAGATACATTACCTTGAACAGGCACTTTTCAGAATTAAAGAACATCTGCAAATACAGCACACCTTAAATTCATACCTTTACAATTACAGAATTGTAAGGACTGCTTATCTTGAAAATACTCAATTAGTGACAAACCCAAAAACCTATGGGTTTACCACAAAGGAATAAAGCATCTACAAGAAGTTTTTTACTGAGATGATAAATCTCTATGTGAATTGGAGAGCAGTTTAGTCGGGTAATAGTTTAGCTAAAAATGATGTCAATAAAAATGGGCAAAACTGACCAAATGTAGAACTAACTATACAATACTACTGAAATTTTGAGTAGACTGGTGGCCTTGCTCTGCCAGCTGCTACTTGATTACACTGCTTTGAAGCTCATGACTCTTGTAGCAAATGTAATTGCTGTTTATTTTTAAGGTCTGTGCAAATAGAAGTGTGAAAGTATGAGAAGAGAACATGGCTTAGCTTGAACATTCTCTGAGTAGGGTCTTCCCCAGAGCAAGTGGAGTTTGTGCATTGTCTGTGGTGGTTCAATTTGTGACTTGATTTCAATCATCACATTTGAGGTTTTCCTTTTGAGGCTTGTACTTGTTTGCATGGTGCAAAAAATTAATCAAGTCTTGCACTTGGAATGTTTCCAGTGAAAAGGAAGCTTTACTGTTCAATGTTTTCACAACCAAAGAGTAAATTGTAATGAGAATCTTTTGACTTCTGAAATTTTCTGCATTTAAAAATGGGGTTAAAAAACCCCCACAACTTGTGTTTTACTTAATGTCAGTGTGGATTTTGGAAAGTAAATCAGAAAAAATAAAAGGATAAATATAAGAAAAGAGGAGTCAAACTGGAAAACAAAAGGAGAATCAGACCCTGAATAAATACTTTTGTAATGAACATGTGAAAGAGTATGTTTTGAATTAGTATTACCGGAATATTCCAACATGGAAACAGAGCAAATACTGCAGTGATTGCAACAATAATAAAACATTTGTCGGTAAGATAACTTTATTTGTGTTGCTCTTAAAGCATCTTCATATAGACTTGAGACGTAAATTGTAACAGAATAGGAAATAACTCATGAAAGCTATTAAGGAAACAAGGAACAAAATATCTGTAGACTTCTCCCCCAAAATTCACTTCTGTGAGGTTGAGTTAGGTTTACATGAGCTAAGTCTGGTAGCAAAAAATAAGAATTTTGTATGTAGATGTGTGTGTATCAGTACATATTTTAGATATATACACATATCATGTGCAAATATATTTTTAGAGATGTGTATGTATATAGCTACATATATCAATATATGAAAATTTTAGGTTGTCTTCTGAAGTGATTCATCTAAACTTTCTTGTGGAATACACTGCAAATAGAGTATGCTTTTCTAATTCTCAGTAAACAACTTAATCTCTAGGCTATTTATTCTGAGTAAACACGGAGTCCTTTTAAACACGGAGATCTTTTAAAATTAATCTGTTCTTCATGTATTCATGCAATATCAGAGCACTTCAAATAGCAGAAACTTCTTTAGGGTTCAGTTGGATGATTTTCAGTTTATGTTGATAACACAAGGGCAAATTACCTTTTTAACTAATTTTAATGGTTTATCACTGTTGGAGTTGCTCACATTTTTATTTGTATTATTAGTATCTAAACAAGCCCCACAAATGTAGCTAACTACCAGTCTAACTTCCTGTACACCCTCCATTGCTCTTTTCCTATTTCCTTCTTAAATCTTCACCTTCCTCTGTGTTGTCTCAGGTTATTTGCTGGCAACATCTTTCGTTATTTGAATCTTCTTGCTTCTTCCATTTCATCCACAATTCTTTTCATTTGCCACCAGTTGGTTCCTTCTGAGCTTGTGGTCCCTGTACTTGCTACCTTCTGTTCCTTCTCATTTTTCTTTCTCTGTTTGAAAAGGCTGTTTTGCCTTTCTGTGACAGATACAGAACCTGACTAGTTTTAAGCAGCTGGTTGGGGTTTCCTTCTCTTATTTTTTGTTCCTTTTCCTGTTCACATATGCATTCTGCTTTACTGTTCTTCCTTCTTCCCCTGACTGTACTTACTGTCCCAGCTTCTACTTTCCTGCTTGTTTGATGCCTTAGCTTGGGGTTGCTGCTTGTATGTTTGAGGGTATGTGAGTCTTTACCACCTTCTGGTACTGACCTGTTCAGCATGAGGTCACTGGGGAGGCATTAAGTCTTGTCTTTGACAGCAGAGTAAACTTCCTGCTGTATCTTCTCCTGCTTTTGGAGGTAAATCCTTTGTGGCTTACATTTTAGGAGATAAATTACTCATATTAGAAGCCCAAATGAGTGACCATAATTAAAGGCAAACTTCTGTAGACTTTGAGGTTTTTTGTAGAAATGCATTTGTGCAAGTGTGTCTCTGTTATACGAACATCAAAATATCCCAAGCCAAGCCCTACACTTGCTGAAGTCTCAGGTGTCCCAATTGGGCTCATATAACTTTAAGCTTCGAACTGGTCCCTTAGTGCCTGTGGCCAGCCTTGTCTTTACTTAAAAGGAACCTACACAAGAATGCCACTATCATGGCTAATAATGTAAAGATTGAAATAGTAATATATGCAGTCTTCGTATGACTGTCAAATGGCATGATAGTTATACAGTGTGCATAATTGCTGACTTTCTGGATGTTATTCTGTAATAATCTAGCATAAATCTGAATCTTAAGAAATTACAACCAAATTTTTGATGACTAATTAAATATTCCTGTTGGTAATTTACGTGTTTCTGAATTTCTGTTAGAAATCACTAAGAAAACACAAGACTTAACAATTGCAGTTTGTTAGAATTTTGAGAGTGACCATCAATGTTGGGTACCAAATTTTATCCAAATTCTTTAATTTTGGATATTTTCTCCACACGAGGGTGCTGTGCCCACAGTTTACGGCTCTGTCATCCTGAAAGGCAGGTCCCAGGCCGATTGAGCTCTTCGTTTGGAATCGTAGAACCATGCAATGGTTTGGGTTGGAAGGGATCTGAAAGATCATGTAGTTCCAGCCCCTGCCATGGGCAGGGACACCTTCCACTAGACCAGGTTGCTCAGAGCTCAGTCCAACTTTGCCTTGGACACTTCTAGGAATGGGGCAGCCACACCTACTCTGGGCAACCTGTGCCAGGGCCTCACCATGCTGTAACCTCCTATAATTTTAAGTTTTAAACAGTATCAGAAGGCTGCTACTGAGTGTAGTAATAGATAGATAAAAGTAGCAGTATAGATACAAGTGGAATTTAGTTTAAATTGGGCAAATAATATGCCCTGCCTTTTTTTTTTTATTAAAAAGAAAATTACTGTAAATTTCAAGTAGCAGAGTCTTTTTATGTGCATTGAATTCAGCAGTTACTGGTCAGTGCCAGTATATTCATAGTGAATAAACAGGTGCACAAATCTTTCAGGTGAGATCTCTTATTCAGGATTTCTGAAGTGTCTGGGGGACTTTCTCCTTGGTACCAGAGAAACAACTAAAAACCTAAAAATGAGACTCTTCGGAAAGAGGAGTTTTCATTCACCTCACAATGCAAACAACGTGTTCTGTTGTGAAGAATGGATCAGTGGAAAAAGATATAAACAGCAACAGTGGCTATAGAAATTGTACCAAATAACTCACCCAGTGTAAAATAACTCAAACTGCATCTCAAGCTTACAATAATAATCTCAAACTTGCAATAATAATTATCCTAACTATACAGCATGTCCTTTTTTTTTTTTTTAAACTGTTGAGTGAACGATGTTTGTGTTTTAATTCCAGGTGCAGTTTTCCTGGTTATTTTTTGCAGGGGCAGTACCTGTATTTTTTTCTTTTTTCATTGCAACTCTCTTATGTCACTATAACAACTGGGATCCAGTGATGGTGGGAATCAGAAGAGTTTTTGCCTTTATCTGTAGAAAACATCGAATTCAGAGGTAGGACAGTCACAAAGTATTATCCTATCTCTTCTCCAGCCTTTCCATTAACCTGTATTTTTTATAAGCTGCGGTACTCATACTCTATTTATTTTCAGCTGATTTTATATTCAGTAATACTGATTTCTTAATAGTAGTAGTTGCCAATCCATTTATTAACCTCTGCAATGCTCAGAAAATGGAAAGATATGAAGTCTTTTTATCTTTTAAAAGAAATTTCCTAGGCTATCACAGTTTTTCCCCTTAATGCCTCTATGTTAATTGCTGTACCCAGAACATGCAGTGAAAATTGTGCAAACTTAAGTGTACTTGATGAACTTAAGGAGTCTTTGCATGTTTTTAATGGCTGCAGTTCAAACAAATAGTGTATTTAGTTAATTACTTTTGCTTCATAACAACCAATTTAATATTTCTGTGTTACTTCAAATAAATAAATTTGTTTCTTTTAAGAATGCCAGAAGAAAGTGAGCAGTGTGAAAGCCTCATTCCTATGCATAGTGTTTCACAAGATGGAGAGAGTTGCTGTTCATAGACAAAAGGTATGCTTAAAAACCTCAAACAATACACAGAAAGGTGAGGATTGGTTTCCATGGTGGCATTTGTGTTATGCAAGGACACATTTTTAAAAAGCATACAGTTAGTCTTGTCTGTATTGATGGGCAGAGTTTTGAAGTGTATTGTCAAAATTATTATTCATTACCAAGCATTATTCTCGCATTGATACAGGTTAATAGTTTTGAAATGTGAAGTAGTTTTTAATTAAAATGTTCATATAAAATTGGACATGAGTCAACAAACCAGAAGAAGCACACAACTTCTTGACATGGATTATGTGTGTGGAAGAGAGCTGAAGTAATTATTTCACTCCTTAATGCTGTTGGGGTCTCCGTTTGAGTTACTGCAATTCACGAAAAACACCAACCATTTAAGGAAGTTCAGAGAACATCACCAGACTTTATCATTATGGGTCCAGAAAATGGAAGGGAGCCCTTGTGTTTGTAGCTGACAAGAATTAAGTTGTTAAATTGCATTAAATATTAGGGCAAATATTTCTCATAATAACATAGGGAAACTGGACTAGAAAAGCTAAAGAGTTTGCAAAATATCCCTCTCTAAGAGGGGGTTACACAAACACATAAAAGGAGCATTACATGGTCAGTACAGACATAGTTTAGGACTCTCCTAGCCTTGTGCTACAGGGCTTTAGTTTTCAAGTCATGCATGCAGAATTAAATGAGAAGTATATTTTTATTTTCTAATATTGCTTAAATCGAATAAAGAAATTGAAAACATTCTAACCAAAACAGTAATTGTGATGTCTTAAGCTTAAGACATGGAGTTATTTCTTTTATTAGTAAGATGGAAACAAATATACACAGTGATTCTTTTTTTGAAATCCTGACTTATGTACCCCAATAATTTTTTCTTTTTCTTCTTCTTAGTTTAAAAATGATGCCCAGCGAGGAGACAATCTTCTGGAAAAGTCCCTAAGGAGTCATGTTTCAGTGCCTATTCTGAATTTGTAGTAAAAATAAGAAGTTTCAGTTCTTTTGAAACTCTAAAGTTTTCCTCTTTCTTGCTTTCATCTGATTTTATAAATGAACAAAGTTACTCTATGCCTATCACCATAGGGAGTCTTAGTCCATCTGAGCAACCAACCTGCCTTATAACACTTGAGCTGGTGACATTACTTGACAAAATCAAGAAAGCAAATGCTGTTAAGTGATTTCTTTCTTTTTTTAACTCATGATTTTGTTAAATGCTGGACAATATTGTTTTTAAAAGATACTTTCAAGTGAGTTATGTAAATAAGTTTGCAGGTCATCAAATCTTACAGGCTTTCAGAGGAAAAGCTTAATAGATACATTACCTGTAGTAGGTACAAATTAAATTTTTTTATGTTGTATAAACTATTTGCATATTAATAGAGGAAAACAGAAAAAATAATTTATTAAGTGCATTCTTATGATTATTGAGGCAGGATCTTTGTACGGTCCTGGAACACTACAAACATGTTGTCTTAGGCCATTTTGAGAAGCCTTGTAATGGCAGTGGGTGCCGATGTTTAAAAATCTTGCTTACTGATTCTGTAACACATTCTTACTCCCAGTTATCTCACAGACATGTGAAAATTTTCATGTGTGTAGCTGCCAAGTTGCAAAAGAGGTCAAATTAATTGAGGAAAGTTTTCAGTCAGTGGGTTGGCACTACAGTAATCTGCTAAGCAATCTGAAAGGTAAAGGTGTTTGCGTTAATTTTTCTTTTCCCCTAGTCGTGTTAATAAATTTATTCTAAAACTGGTAATTTTCCTTATAACCTATATCTTCCTTCCACTGCAGTGTTTCTATCCTCTTTAATTCTGAGAAGCTATTATAATTATATTCAGGAATATTTGAAATTAATCAATGCCATTTTCCAACTTCTGGCCTATAAGACAGTTAGATCAAAGTTAATTTTGGCTTTTGATGGATTTTATTTTTATATAATGAATGTTGGATGGATTTTTAGCCAGCAGTATTCTCTTCCACATAACAAGGTAGGGTAATGTGGGGTATTTCTACTGTCCTTCCACACAAATACAGAAGGATAATATAGCAGAAATGCCTTTTCATGTTTTGGCACTCAGTAATGATCATTCCAAAAGAAATTTTGGTCTTTTGGTGATAAAACTACTATATGAGAGAGAATGCAGGAAAGCAATATGCTTAGCTGTACATTTATAGAAGAATTCTAGCCAGCAGCTAGAATTTAATAGAGAAAGAAGAAATGGACCTGGGTGCTATTCTGTTCGAATATTTCACCTTTATCAGTTTTTTCCTTCCCATTTTTAATACTGGATTGCACTAAAAGTTTTGGTGATCTGAAGCATCTCTTTAAGATGAGATAGTAAGTCTTTCTTCAGACACTAAACCAACCAAAACAAAATCACAAACCCAAAACAGACAAAACGTTTATTCAATTTATGTAGACATTTTGAAAAATTCCACATTGAAATTTCCAAACCCCAGAAGTTGGGGGGGTGAAAGTACAGTATATTGAAGTAATTTTTCTTCGGTAGTGTTTTCAGGGGTTTTTTGGTAAGTGGAATTTCCTTAGGTTTTTTGATTTTTTTTGTTTGTTTGTTTGCTTTTGGTTTTTTTTTAAATTATTGCAAGTTACAGGATGTTAGCTTCAACTTTTTTCCTAGAAGTAATGTTAATGCCTACTCACAATAAAAAGATAATGTCTGTTTTCAATTAATGAAATGTTTCAATAAGGTCCTGACAAATATATAATACCAGGCATTAACTCTAAATTTGGATCAATTGGCACTTGTGGAATCAGTGAACTAAGCCTGGGAAAACTGAGTTTGCTTTCAGATGGGCAATGACAGTATTTTTAGCAAAATTTTCTATTTCTGTTCTTTGAAATTGGCCATAGCAATAGAATTGGAGCTGCAATGTAAAATGGGCAGTTGCTGTTCATATTTGCCCTTATGTTCATGGTTTAAAGTGAAAGATCATCATAATCCCCCACGTATATGACTGCTGTTAACTTGCATTATTCATGAGTTTGAGAGGTTAAAAAAATAAGTACTAAGAGAATATTATTCTGTCTCTGACCCCAGGAATGTTGAAGAGTGTTCAGTAAACTCAGTCAGGGCCTTCCCGCTGTTCTTCTTTTTAACAAAAATGTGCTAATTTTTTTTGTAAGATACGAGATATTTTTATCTCATGGCACTAAGTAGCTTAAGCAGTGTTTTTGCATTACATTACAGTTCTTTAAAGAGTAAGAACAAAGCAAACTGTCCTTCCTGAAAGGATTTTTAAACAGTGGTGCCCCTGTAGTTACAAGAAACGTGTTACGGTTTTAATTATGGAAGTATGACATATAACATTGTTCCTGCATTTAATAGAATGTGATGTTTTTTCTATAAAATCTTGTGATTTTTAGTACAATAATATTTTATAAATATACTGTCTAATTTGAAATGTAAATTGCTTGACTCTCTAATGGGTGCTTGGTAAATGCACAAGAGATTTAGCTTTGATTCTCAGGTACCTCTGACGAAATGGAGACGTTGCTGGGTTTTCTTGCTCATCACACAACTGGAATGTGAAGGAGCTCTCTCATCAATGCTTTATGTCTCTGTGCTGGTGTAAATTGTCATTGCTCTTACTGTTTCAATTTGGGAATGTCTTTATCCTGACATATTTCTTGTAGGAACCACATACACTTAAAAAAAAATAACAATTTTTTCTATGTCTAGCATTTCTTTGATTCCCATTAGACGCTTAGGGAACACTGATTTCCCATATCTGCAAGATGGAAAATGAATACCATGTCTTGCTCTGTCAAACAGTTTAACTAATTCCTGTAATCATTTGAGATAACCAACAGTTTTTCTGTGTGTGCAGTTAAGGTTTTGGAACTGTTTGGTTTTTATATATGAAGGAAATGCTGATAATTTGCCAAATGCTACAGAGCATGCCTTTGGTTTTGGTGAGTCTGTTTGATACACAGTGTGCTGCAGTTCAGGACAAAGGAGAAAAAGAATTTTAGTTTCTCTGGCCACTTTGTGTTAGGTTTCAGTCATGCTGAAAATGTGTTCCCTGCAAGCTGTAGATGTAATGTTAATTCAGCAGTGGACTGAGAGAGATGCCACATTGGTACTTAGCAATTACTTGCAAAGTCTGGGGCACATGAATGCTGCTGGAGGCACCAAGGGCCTGATGTTCCCATTTCCCAGTGTTCACTGCATCCTGCTTGTTGGCTTTTGGCCTATAGGAAGTCCCTGTATGAGGGCAGGGGCTGTACTGTGTGAGTGACCTGGCTTGCCATGGAGTTGGGCTGGAGTGGACTGCACACAAACTCAGAAGCAGGGTGGCTGAGGCACTCCTGGGTATCTCAGTGAGGTGTGGCAGATGCTGAAGTATTTTGTGGAAATAAGATGTTTATCAGGGGTGGTGTTTGAACTGTGGGGCTGCAGCTGATACTTGACCCAGTGTGCTGGTCTGTGTGTGTCAAACCTTCTTGGAATATACTAACAAAAATAGGGGATACTGCAAATCACTTTCCTTGGTGTGTGCTGCTGTAATCGTCATTCCTTCTGCAATGCTCCTCGTGCCTAGATACTGCTATTCACAGCTATGATGGCTTTAAATAAGGTGGCAAAATGATTTCTTTGTAATTCTTGTTTCCATTTCTCTTGTTGAATGTTATCGTTCCTATTCTCTCTTGAAAGATCTTACTATCTTAGGGAAATTAAGTTACTGAGCTACACTAAGCTATCAGAGAAGGGAGAAAACCAGTTAAATTTTGTTCATAGAGTGAGTTTATGGACACACATTCAAATTTCATATGCAAACAGGCCTCGATAAGGCAGAGTGTTTGTAAATTAAGTTAAGAAGTGGCATGCTCAAAAAATCAAGAAACAAACTAATGTTAATATCATAATGTTGAGTTATATCGCTAATTATAGGATGGTGCTTCTAATCAGCTTTCTTATCTGGAACAAGTTTTGAGTTAGTTACCATTTCTGTTATGGCTGTCATGTGTAGTGCCTGCAATTTAATAGTTACGACTCCAGTAGCATTTCTGTGTTCACTCAGAAACAGTTGTTATGCATTATTTCCCCATCTAATCCATGATTTCATTAATGCTGTATTTTGTTTTACATGATTATTGCAGGGCATGATTTCTCAGGGAAATATGGGTGATACCATACGTTGTGAGAGCCGATAACTAATTCCTGCTTTTAAAATTGCTACAAACATTTCCAAGTTTCACTCAAAACATTTCACATTGTATAGCTTTCATGTTGAACTTCCTTTAGACTTATCAGGTAAATCATGCTGAGAATGTTAAGAACATTTAAAGGTGTCAATAAAATACACTCTGCCCAACATTTGTTACTGTTTGGAGAAACATCCATTCTAATCTGATGTTGCAACGTGTGGTTTTACTTTCTTGTCCTCTGCGCCGTGCAAATGAATAGTTACTCTGCTGATTTTGAAGATGCACTTCTGGCATGACAGTGACATTAACTTTCAGGGTTAGGCAATGCCATAATAATAATCTGATTATGGAGTAGATCACCGGTATAAATCTCTAATATAAATATATTCATTTATATCATCAAATTTTTACTAAGTCTGTTCACTTTGGGGATTTTTTTTGTTTGTTTTTCCAGTAAAGATACTTTGTCTAGACTGGGATTTTATCCAAAGCCCAAGAGAGTCATAGACAGCATTAATAAAGTAAAACTTTATTGAAAAGGAACTCTGCAGTCAGGCTGACCTTTATGCCTTTGCAGTATTTCTATCTGCAGCGTATATTTGGAGTGGTTTGCTTTAAGACTTCGGTAATATAAATGGAGGGATTTTAGTGATGGTAAAAATGGTAAACACACTGCTGTAACTGGTCACAAAAGATATATTCTGTATAGCCAGCAAACAGCCTAATTATTTAGAAGGTGAATTTGTCTTACTACATGACTTTTGTTTAAAATCATCAGTGTGAGAAAGGTTAACCTCTACACTTTGTTGTATACTTGTAGGAGAATTTTTTTGTCCATAGTAAGA